CCTCTAATTGATTACTGACTTTGATTAATAATTTTCAGCATATCTGTTACAGCCTCTTGTTGTTATGGCATGGTTTGAAAGTGAAAAATTTGTCATTCAGTAATATTCTTCTTGTACATACAGCACTTTCTTCCACCTATGGGTTCATATTTAACTTTCAGACTAAATACTATAACACTGGACTACAGTAATCATTGTTATCACGGGCTTCTAAGTATTTGGATTCATTGAATATCTCTCAAAATGTCTTATATATATAAAAAAAATATTGTTGATGCAAATATTATACAAGAAGAATATCTAAACATTGAGGCTGTATTAGAGATCTACTTCCTACATTTATAGAGGTCCATATTCTCCTGTTTTTCATTAAGGTAATGAAAGTCATTTATTGAATATATATATATAGAGAGAGAGAGAGGGAGGGAGGGAGGGAGATAGAGATAGAGATAAGATATAGAGATAGATGAATCAGAGTTAATTATTGATGCAAAATAATGTCAGCCCAACTCATGGCATTGCCTCTACTGAGGATCTCAAATTGGGGCAGAAAACCAGTTTGTGGCTCAGGCAGAGCCTTCATAGTTTTTAGGCATTTTCTCTTCACCATTAACGGGGAACCACAGGAACCCTAATGGTCTTATGATGACATCACTGGAGGATGTGAGACTATACTCCTCTACATGTTATCTGACAGTAAGCTCCATTGAACTAAATAGGACCTACTTCTTAGTAGACATTCATAAAAGTAGATTGTAAAAATGCATTCCTATGCATCTTTACTCAGAAACAAGTTACACTGGCTGAGTCCAATTATGGTGTTGGAAGGAGCTTGGCAGTTGGAACTACTGAGTGAGTTAGAAAGTAAACACAGCTTCATGGATTCTCCAAATATACATACAAGAAAAATGCACAGCATTAGAAAGTTGTTCAAATCTTGGGACTGCATATTTCCAGGAATTCAACTTCCTTAAAAAATCAGATAGTGCTATACCACCTTAAAGACCAACAGATTTATTATACTAAAAGCTTTCATGGACTGGAGTCCACTTTCCCAGATGTGTCTGAAGTGGACTGGAGTCCACAAAAAGTATGCTATAACACATCTGTTAGTCTTTAAGATGCCAACATGTGTTTTTATTGTTGTTGCCGTGACAGGCTACAGAAACCCCATGGAAATCCTTGCAAAAGGTGTTTACCATGGAACTTATTTCAAATTCCTTGAAATGTTATGGCCTGGCTTTTTAGATATCCTAGACTGTCAACAGCTCAAGTACTCCATCAGAAAAAGGTGTTCACTAGCAGTTTTTAAGCTAATACAAAAACAGAGATCAATGTGGATCCCAGTTAGGAATGAAATACTGTGTGAAGTTCTAGTGTCTTTGAAACAAATATCTAAGAAATGTTTGGCTACAATTGACATTTTTACAGACATTTGGTCTGCATTTTCTGAAACATCAATGATTAAATCCATATTGTTGGCTACTTTCCCCTCTGATCTGCATCTTTCTTTACATCTTGTGAGAAATTTATGAACAAAGTTATTGTTAATCCATACTGTCTGTCTCACCATTTAGATTCTTTTCAGAAATCTTACTTTGCCAATATAGATAAACAATCTTCAGCAGGATTAACACATACTACTTCACATTCAGGAAAGGAAAGGAAAGGAAAGGAAAGGAAAGGAAAGGAAAGGAAAGGAAAGGAAAGGAAAGGAAAGGAAAGGAAAGGAAAGGAAAGGAAAGGAAAGGAAAGGAAAGGAAAGGGACATAACAAGGAGTTGAAGTTCTGTCTGAAGTCAATCAAAAGCTGGAAATAAACACATGTTAGAACATGTGTATATTTCCCCAATTACTATCTAAGCCTTTGGGATATGCTGAATTGGGTAGCCATTTTTAAGAAAGCTAGTTCCCCATAAAAATTAGTTTAAATTCATATTTTTAATAGCTTGCTCCAACAAAGAAGCAAAAAAATGTGAAAATAGTACCAGATCTCAAATCAGAGCACTAAAAACTCAAGCATAGTATTCAGTATTTGAATCACAGGAACCATGGTTTACTTAATTATTGGAATGGCATTACAGTAGCTGTTTACTAAACATACAGTAGTGTGTACTGTAGCCAATTCTGACTTGTGTGTGTAAGACTAGGATCTTAACTTTCTCTTAGCAGCATAAAATATACTTCGGGCCTTTAGCAGATAATTGTTGTGGAACAGGATGACTGTAACATAGTTGTTATTAAAAGTAAAAAATAAATATGCACCCCCACCAACTGTCAACATCATTCATTTAATTTAGTTTACCTTTTTCTGCCAGAGGAATAACACTCACACTTTTTAGTACATGCATGCTTCCTCAACAACTGTACACCTAGCAGTTCCATGTTGTTCATGTTAAACTTGTGAAACTGCAATACACAGTTGTTCTCATTCCAATAAACTGGATGAAGGGATGTTTAAATCTGAGATGAGATGAGATGAGATGAGATGAGATGAGATGAGATGAGATGAGATGAGATGAGATGAGATGATGAGATAGTGAAGCAGCCAGTTTTTAGGAATATTAAAGTTTCTGGCTCAGTTAGTGGACAAATCTGGGAAAATAGCTAAATAAAGAGAACCAGGTGGACAATAACTTATATTTCAAGGAAGAAAGCTTTGACATTCGAGGAAGAGGAGAATAACAGCTAGGAAGTGAGAGAATTAGAGGATTTGGTAGAAATCTTTTGTGCTCTTCACTCAATGATATATTTAGATTTCTGATAGAGTAGAAGGAAGTAATATGTATAAAGTAAAGAGATTATCAGATGTTTTACAGACTTCAGAACTCCTTGTATCAGCAGCCAATTGCATGATAAATGGCTAGGCAAGGCTATCAAAATCAGCAGAGGGAGGGCTGCTTCCAAGAAGTGCTGAAGGACATTTTAAAATTATAGCTAGGATAATAAGCATTCCTTCCATGGCTGGAAGAGCTTCTTCCATTCCCAGAAGGCCTTAGAACAGAGTTGAGGAACTTCCTGACCCTCAGAATGTAGCTGGACACCTGCAGTCATTACCCATATTAGTGAATGTGAAGGAAGCTGGGAGTCCAATAACATCTGAGAAAGAAAAGGGACATAAATTCCCCAACCCTGCTTTCAGTTCAGCCGAGGACCCTGTGAGTAAAAGTTTTGACAAATGTCTTTTCTGCCTGAGAGGCATTTTTGAAGATTTCCCTCCAAAGGGGCTTCAAGGAAAGCTTCAGGGGACAGGAGGAAATACAGACTGCTTAACCTGCCTATGGCTGCTTGTTGGAAGGAAGTATGAGCATTCCTGAGAGTGGGATCAAGAATGAGTGAAACTCTGTTACTACTATAACAGAGAGTTATTTAAGAAAATACATGATGGGAATAGGCAGTTATCTAGTTACCTAGATAACTATGTAGATAACTACGTGCTATCAGAGTTCAAGGGAGAAGAAGTGATCTGAGATCAACAATATTTTAAACCAACAACAGGCAGTGTGGTAGACAAAGAGGGAATCCAGAGAAAATCTCTACACTCCAAAGGTTGGGAGGTACTGAAGAGTCAATGCCACTGACTTTGCATTTTAATCCTCTCTCCTCTGCTTGTTTTTTTCAGACAGTGCTCAAGCAAAGAGGCAGTCTTAATTCCAACCAAAGGGGAGCTGATTCACATATTAATGTAATTAATTTGATTCCTTATCCCTTGATCATATATGGACAAGCGTGTGAACTTTTTGGATTGAATCAATTTTCTTGGTCTTGGGGGAAATAAAAATTATAACTATGCCAATTAATTTGTGTTTTCTCATTTCATACACGCAAGCCTTCACTTGATATCACAAATAATAAGTCAGTAGCCTTAAGTTACAAAAGCCTAACTGATTAGCAATTTCAGAAGTGGAGCTTGGTATTAAAAAAGGAGAAATACTGATATCGCTATTATTTACATTTTTAAAAAGGCCATGCTTATTATAACAGTTTTATAGGATCAACTGTTTCTGAATGCTCATTTGGAAAAGCCTGCAGCATCCCTTCATATATTTAAAATAGAAATAATTCCAATCTGGTTTCTCTTCTTTTTTACATGAATAGATTTTTGTGATCTCACTAGACTTTTCTGGCAATTACTTGTATTTTCTGAGCCAGCTGATTTCTCAGCAGTTTCTCGATCAGGAGCCATTGCCCTCTAGTCTAGCCTGTCTTTAATTTGTCCATTCAGAAGGAAAACTGGAGAGTTCATGGACTTTCAAAAAAGGCATTACAAAGTTCAGTGAAAACAAAATGCTGGATATAAAAAATGGACACAGTACAACTTTATTTTATGCAGCCAAGATTTTGGATGGAAAAGCTCATTTTAAATTATTGTGAATTCCAGAGGAACTTCATTGCAATCAATGGGAAGTATAAGAGAATTGCATCAGAGTAAAAGGAGAAGCTGATGGAATCTGTGCTGTCTTAGCTTGCTTACATAACTGCAATGTTAGGGCTATTTCTCCAGCTACTAAAAAAAAACAAAAAACTTTTGAATCCTTAGATGTTTCAAAGAAAGGCTTTTACTGTGCCAGCTCCATGCCTTATTAATAGAATTTATGGGTGTAACCATCACCTCTCCCATTCACACTGCTTTCCATTGTTTCTATTATCTTTTTGCTTTCCACAGAAATATCACTTAAGCAGAACAAGATGAAATCACTATATACTGTGTTTCATTGCCAGCCTACAGAGCCCTCTGTATGGAAATATCCTCAGGACGCATCACTTTTTGAAGGTTGAGGGTTGTACTTGGTCTTGGGAACACACTGGGGCTGCACTTTTCCTGGACCAGGAAAAAAATATGGCAGAATGAATGAATGAAAATATATTCATTCATTCATTCATTTATTCATTCATTCATAAACACACACACATACACACACATACACAAACACTTAAAATGTAAATTAAGTTAAAACTAAATTAATTTGATAACATTTATTTAATATTATTTTAATCCTCATGTAATTTTTTAAAAATCCTTTCCCACACACTGAAAATTCGAATTCGGAACCAACTTTGGGAGGGGACCTGGGCACAGCATCCAAGGCTTTCAGATGGTCCATGGCAATTCACTTTAGTTTTACATAAAAACAGATATATTTCAATATATCTGCTCCTTGATATCTGGAATTGTGCATACTTATTTATCGCATATATATTCCATCATATATTTTCACAAGACTGGAGAGCATGAATGTGATTTCTTCTGATCTGCCCCTTGAACTTCACAGCTGGCTGGGACGTGAGGCCAGTTTCCTAGTCTTATACACCACATCACTTATGTATACGAGCCTGGTCTCACATAAAACATTTACCATTATTTTACAAACAAAAATCTTTCTTTTTCTGTATGGCTTAAAGAAAATAATAGAAAAATTGAATGTCTCCTTTATTGAAGTTAAAGGAGTGCAAGTGGATGTTGTCCAACTTACTTGGCAGTCCTGCTATATCATATTCAATTTTTTCTCTTGCAAAGTGCCAGAGAATATGAACTACAACCTCTACATTTCATTACAAGAAAATAATACAGTGGTGAGCAATTGACAGAACAAAGCAGTCATTGTCTTAAAGCACAACTCTTTCTGCAAAGGCTGCATGTATCACAAAATAATAAAGTTCAGAACATTTGTGAGATCACTGAATGTATCATGATATAAAATAGGATGGACTGAGGTTAGCTACCAGTGTGAGGTCATTTGTTATATATCTGTCAACATGGAAATGCAGAGACAAAAAATAGCAATGTTTTGGGGAATTCTTATGCAGCATCTAGCATTATTGGGAGAAATCTTGGCATGCTCCTGATGATAGCTTGATTCGGAATCTGAATTTACTTATCTTTTTAAGATGAACTGGGTCCCTGTTCCTTCTATCACTCCTTCTAACATCTCCCAAGTCATGAAAACACATAAACATTTTGAATCACTATTTCAGTGCTTCAGTCTTTGACATGGAAGAAAAGCAGATGCGTGAACATCTCTAACTATAGTATTCACTCAGTCTTGTTCAGTGGCATTTTATTACTTTTACCTAAACATAGGTGGAAAGATTGTGCTTCCAAAGAGGCCTTTAAGCCTTTCTTTTGAACCTGTAGAGATGAGCAACCAGTACCACACCAGATATACTTGGGTTATGATTCCCATTAGCTTTAATACAGGCCATGCTATCTGGGGTGGATGGAACACATTTTGGAAGGCCCTAAGTTATGCTAAATAGTCCTTAAGCAACACTCTGCTTAAGATACACATTTTCTTACCGTCATCCCTATTTTCCCTCCAAATTTAAGGTTCCCAACCCTATTTGCAGTGTATTTGCAAACAGATCATAGTCATTGTACCTGAAAAAAGTTTGCAAAGAAACAAGGTAAAATTATATTTGCCTTTATATTTTTAGTCAAAGTATATGAATAAAATCAAATGCTATCAAAACACCGATCATACACTATTTATTCCAGTTTATTGGTAAATATTTCAGAAATGTTTTTTCCTATCCTTTACTATCCTACATTTTCTCTAGGAAAAGGGAAGGGGTTTTTTCCCTCCCACCACTCCAGCCAAATCATAAATAATAAAACATAATAGTTTGGAGTTCTGCTTGTGCTTTCTCTATTCCAAACTGTCTTCTCCCAGTATTTCATCAGTGACATATCACTCAAGATGCCATCTAGCAAAGTTACCAACTTTATCAAAGTTATCAAATACCCATCCATTCATACATACAAGTTTGAAGGCATTTATGGAGAAGCATCTATGAAACAGGAATTCTGTGGAGAAATGGATCTTGCTGATTCTGATTAGGATTTGCAAAGCCGTTTAGCTACTTCTGCATAAGCTATTTCAATCTCTTTGTCTGCAGCGCAAGTGTTGATGAATTCATCCCGAGCATAAGCATTGCTCAGGTATTGCCAAAGTCTCGTCATCTCTGCTGGGAATTCATAATTTCGGTATTTCTTTGTTACAATCTAGAATGAAGATGGAGGTTTTTATAAAAATTCTTGGTTTTATTAAACACAGTCAAAAGGAAATAACATTTTACAATGGCTTTCTTGAGCTTGACACAAGGATGAATTTTGCCATCGACCATGGTTATTTTTGTTTTAAAGTCACGATTAATGGTTTTATATGTTTATATCTTGGTTTTTAATTTGTTTTTTTATTGGATTGTTATGAGCTGCCCAGAGTCACTTAGGTGAGATGGGCAGCCATACAAATAAAATAAATAAATAAACAAATATACAATATCTATAATGAAAGAATAAGAGCCAGTTTGGTGTAGTGGTTAAGGCATCAGACTAGAAACCAGGAGATGGTGAGTTCTAGTCCTGCATTAGGCATGAACCCAGCTGGACGACTTTGGGCCAGTCACTCTCTCTTAGCCCTGGGAAGGAGGCAAGGGCAAACCACTTCTAGAAATATCACCTAGGAAGCTATAGGGATTCATCCAGGCAATCGCCAGGTGTCAACACTGGCTCAAGGGAACAACAACAACAAAAAAAAGGAAAATAAGAAGGTAGTACTGCTAATATGAAATTATGAAATTATTATAGGTCAGATTTGCTTATACATACATGATGATGAGACCAATATGTCTGCATGAGCAGTAAGGGCGGACAGAATTACAAAACCAGTGTCATGCCATTGTAACCCAGCTACTCTCACCCTTTGTACACACATTGCTGTATCACATGCATGTACAAAGAGAGTAGGACTTGTGGCGCAACAGTGCTTTTGCTACTTTGATGAAACATTAATAGTACAATAAATTAGAAAATGTAAGACTAACCATGGACATGATGTATTAATTTTGATAGAAAAGAACTAAACCAGGAGAGAGTTAAGTATGTGCTTAATTCTGACAATGAAACCAGTAAGCCTTCAAGAGTCTTAACTAATAGTTTCAAATCAGTTTGACTAAATGATAATAGTATTAAATGTTTCTGTTATATATAATTATCTTTATCTATGGAAACCTCAGTAATTAGAAAACACATAGAATGAATACATTTAGACAGACTGGTTTACTTTACATAATTTATGTTCCTGAACAGCATGAAGAAGTGTCTGTGCTGAATTTACTTGCCAAATACCAATGTTAATTAGATGCCTTTTACAAGATCTGAAGTATCTTCTGCCCTATTTACATCTTTACACTATAAAATCCTTTAAATATGTATTGTGACTACAGAATGATAACCATGGTTCTGTATAATTTCAAGTAAACAGGTTTTGCCAATTATTGTGCATCCTCTGTTTTCTTTGATATGCCTCCATTTGCCACTACTGTCTAATGTGTGGGTAAATTGCATAATTTTCACAATAACTTTTATGTTCTCAATCATTCATCTTTTAATTTTTTCTCCTAAATTTCAGAAAGAAAATGCTTCACCCATAGAATGCTTTGAAACCTTTGGCTTATCTTTCACTGAAAAAAGCCTAAATGATGACCTTTGGCCTGTTCCAAAACATGAAGCCAAACCTCCCCCAAGCTCAACTCCTTCCAGATGTGTGGACTTAACTGACAGAATCCTCAACAAGGTCATGCTGGCTGAGAAATTCTTGGCACTGATGTTCACACATCTGGAGGACAGCTAGTTAAGGAAGGCTCTCTTAGCCATGCCAAAATGTTTGACATGACTTTCTATTTTAGTCCAGAATCTGCCATAAACTCCTGTAAAAATAGGTGTTCAGAGATTTTTCAAAATTGTATATCCTGGAAAGGTTATTTCAGTCTCATGTAAAAATATATTTAACTTGGAAAAATATGTTTGAATTATGAAGCTGCATGAATTATGAAGCCAGCATTTTCCAGGATGCTTCACTTGTCAAAAGGGACATAGAATTATAGAGATGGAAGGGGCCACTTAAGACATCAAGTCCAATCCTGTGCAGGACTTCAAACTGAAGTGTCTATAACAAATGGCTGTTTCACCTCTGTTTCAGTATATCCATTGAAAGGAAGCCCACTGCCTCTCTGAGTAATTAGTTCCATTATTTAATTGATCTTGTCACAAAATGTTCTTTACACCCTTCTGTTACTTGAAGAATGTTGTCGTATTCCAACACAGTGTTCTATTCTCAAGACTAAACATTCCAGTTTCTTCATTTTCTCTTCATAGGACTTGGCTACTAGTCCAATGAACATCCCTGTTCTTATCCCAGGGATGAAGAAATATCCCAGCAGAGAGTACAAAATTTACCTGCAGTTCTTCTGTCTGACCAGGACAGAATGTATCTGATGTATCTTCCCAGGTTGCTCAGTTCTGTGCCTCTATATGTTCTGTTCATCCCACATATGATTGAAGAATACTACTGATTTTGGTGATTATTATAATCACCATTATTATTGTTATGTTATTTTATTGCTTTTTAGGCTGACTTTTATTTATAGCTATAGATTTTAGGTGCATGCAGAGAGAGAAACAGAGAGAATTTTCTGGCTCTAAGGCCATAATAAAATTAAGATTAAGAACTATCCCTGTTCTACTTCCCTGAACTTGTTCCAATTTGTTTGGAACTTTTGTAAAGAGTAGTGGCCAGAACGGTATGCAATATTTCAGGTGGACTCTGACCACCTCAAATATTAAAGTGCCACTTCAAACATTAAAGTGCCTCTCTATAGATGTAGAACCTATATTTTTTTTCAGCCATATCACACTGCTGACTCATATGCAGTTTGGAAGTAAAATCTCCTTAGAATCAAGCACAAGTCCAGATGACTTAAAGGACACAGGTATACAGTTTTCTTGGCAATTATATGGAACTGTCTAGACTACAGCCCTGGTGTTCCATGGAGGTCTTCCATAAGAACATTATCTAGGAATTATCCTAGTTAAATTCTGAGGGCAGACAAGTTTCCATCTACAGATATTAAAATGCCTTTCCTTTCTCAAGCTCACTGCTTAATGGTGCAATAGTATTTGCTGAGTGGGAACTAATGGTAGGATATATTTTTTCTGAAGACACTCTTATTCCATCCGTGATAGGAAAAAATGGCTATTTAAATATTTGGATAGGCTTTGGGTAGATTGGCAGGCAGCACTGGAGCCAATTAGGGATCCATAACTATTGCTTTGAAAATCTCAAGTAGGATTAACAGCTGCGCTCCTCAATCAGTCCTCCTACTTCAGTATGTTTGGCTAGTGCCTTTATGAATAAAGTTGCTATAGGCTTACAGCTCTTCAGCTCATCCAAAGGAAACCTAATTATTTATGTAAGGCTATTCTGAACTTCTCTCTACTAATAGAAGTGGAGAACATGTAATATAACTGGACCTTGATAGCAACTAACTACTGTTGGCATTTGATTTTCAGGTCTATAATGAATATGAAAGCATTTCACCTTGACCACATGAAGCTTGGGCAGGAGGTTACAGTCAGCAAGGGTCAGCTCATCCCCATCAAGGAACTTGCGTTTTGACACTCTTTCCTCTTCTGAGTTGCTTGCATCTATCTCTTCGGGCAAAGGATTTCTCAGATAGTCATCCAGCTTCTTCAAAGCCTTTGTTAACCCTCTCTCAAGATCTTAATAATTAAAAAGAAGAAGCCATTAAAATCAACTTTATAGTGAGGTCTGTGGCAAAATGGAGAAAGATTTGAACCAGAATAGTGACAATGTGTAATGGTATGTGGGAATGATCTTGGGAGAAAGGGGGAAGAGATGGTGCCTAGGGAATGGTCAGATAAGAGACAGCATAGCCTGCAGCTGCATAGTGGGTGGTGCAAGAGGCTCAGAAGGGACCCTCCCTGAGTTTTGGGGCTGTAAAGGTGATGGTGGGAGAATTGTACTTTGAGACTTGCAAGATCAGTGTCAGCCTTACCAGGCAAACCAGACAGGAAACACATCCAGATAAGCTAATTCTACTTTATTGTAAAGCTACATTAACAGAATCTTGCAAGTCTGAAAGTACAATTCTCCCACTGTCACCTTTACAGCCTGAGGAGCATCATCTCTTTGCCCGGTCTCCCAAGGTCATTCCCACATACCATTACACAATGCCTGCAATATCGGAGTGGTCTAACCTATAAGCATCCACACTACTGTTGTCATGATTACCAATACTTTGAGTTGCCAAGGAATGAAAACAGAACACACCAAAGTAACATACAAAAAATGTAAAACACATTGGCTATGCAACTTTTTTTTTAAAAAAGTAAATCAAATTCAGGTCAAAACACAGATCAAATCAGTCAAATTGGATGAGGAAAACCTACCATAAACTTCAGTATTTTACTTACCTTATTAATTTATGGCCAGAGCCCAAAAACTGTACACAAGAAGAAGCAGGTTACAAAGGAAGATTAGCAATTAACTCTATAAATATTCTATATAATATAGAGTATATAAATAGTTTATAAAAGATTGAATAAAATAGAATAAAAAATATAGAAAATGTGTGTGTGTACTGACTTTTAACTAGCATAAAAGTCAGACCCCCAAGCTTTCTAATAGAAATTCCAACCAAGCAAAACTTAACTAACTTACAGTTAGCAGGGAATGTTGCATGTAACATGGATATAACTAAGGCTGGTAACCTACTGAATACATCTCTATGGTATTAAAAAGCATTATGTGGAAGCCTTGATTGACCAAGGCTATGATTTTTGTGGAAGTTAAATTCTATGGATCCCTCTGGTGATGACTATAGTATATGGAAGATTGTGAATTGAAATGTAAGAATAGTAAATGGTAAAGAGCATAAATTAACACATGAAATGAAAAAAGCAGAAAATATTTTGTGACTGTGTAACAAAGAAAAATGGGAAGGATGTAACAGTGAAGATGATCTTATCTTGTAGAGTGGAGTTGATGAAAATAGGCAGAGAAACTTTCATTATGAATAAAACAGCTAACTTGTATGTCAGAAAGTAATAAATTGGTATCCTCTAGATTGTAATGGGAATGTATCAGATTAGGAATCCATAGGTTGATAACAATTCTATGTTACAGTCCAGTGAATGATGATTATGGAAGAACCAGAAACTAGTTTTGAGAAAACCTGTTCAACATTCTGAATGAATCCCATGCGGGGGGGGGGGGGGG